ATATATATATATATTTATTTATATTTTCTGTTATTGAAACATTTCCATTTGAATGTGGGGCTCTTAACTTAATAAAGTTGAAGAATTTTAGAGAGTGTTCAATGGAGCAATTTACCATTTCTGTCCGTAGCATCATGGGGTAGTTAGATTTTGTTTAGTCTTCCCGTTTGAGGGCAACCATAATGCTTATGTGGCTCTTGGTGAAAATGAGTTTGATGACTCTTGCTGCCATGACTAATGGAAGTATTTATGTATATGTTTCTCCACAAAGGTGTGATTGCAACCCACAGGATCACAGCCAGCTCCCCAGACACTGATCTCCCAACAGTCCAGGGACTGAGGGTGAGGAGCCGTCAAAGAATATCTTTTATTCATGCTTTGCTCTCTGTGGTACATATTTTGTGGGATATTTACATCATTGATGGGTGGTTTTTATATCTCCTGTTCCCTGTATAGTGTTCCTGTCAGGGTTTACCAAAACAAACTTAAAAGCTTTTATGACAAAACATTTTATAATCTGGTTTATTGTGACATTTAAATTCAAGCACATTTTTATTCTTCTTCTATTTTGGCTGCATTCCTCAGGGGTAACCGCAGCACATCGTCTGCCTTTGACACATGTCACAATTATTTTGGAATAACCATGTCATGCATTGAAATATTTTTTCCATAAGTAAGTCAAGAGCCATCAATGTGTAAATTACATGTTCTGTACAGAAAATGGGAATAAACTTTACCACCAGCAACAAGGAAACGGTGAACAAGAGTGACGTCCTCTTCCTGGCTGTGAAGCCCGACATCATTCCATTTGTCCTGGAAGAAATCGGACCAGACATTGAAGAACGCCACCTCATTGTGTCCTGTGCTGCAGGCGTCACCATCAGCTCCATAGAAAAGGCAAGAGAAGAGTGTGTGTTCTCCTGTTTGACTAACAAATGAGCTATAACAAACAAAATATAAATATACTGCATATATGTATATGTATATACATATACATATATAACAAAATATGTACTGTTACATGTTTTATAACCTATATATATATATATACACCCTACAATACCATTATATATATATATATACCCGAAACTATACCCTTCCAAAAAAAAGCAGAATTTTCTGCTGCCGTTACAAACTTAAGTTAACTTTGAAGTTCATTCTTATTACCTCAACATTGGTGTTCACCTAATGATGGCTCATGAATCTGAGATAAAAAAATGTACCTTTTTATTATCTTGCAGAAGCTGCTTCAGTTCTGCCCTGCTCCAAAGGTGATGCGCTGCATGACCAATACCCCTGTAGTGGTCCGCGAAGGGGCCACAGTGTATGCCACAGGCACTCATGCAGAGGTGGAGGATGAACGGCTTCTGGAGCAGCTGATGGCCAGTGTAGGATACTGCACCGAGGTGGAAGAAGATCTGATCGATGCCGTGACTGGTCTGAGTGGCAGTGGACCCGCTTACGTGAGTTTGTTATACCGTGTTGCATTATTTTTCTGTCACAACAAAAAAGTGACTTGGTGAGGACACCTCAGCTGTCCACTGTGTGGTTAAACTGAGATTAGTGTAGTCAGTGATATGGCTGTCTTTTACAATACAAGCAATTTATTGTGATAGAAACAATTCCTACATCCATGATGTTAGAATACCTCCAAACTGATGATACTGCTGAGATACCCATATAAGCTGCCCATGTGGACAGTGAGATGCTGAACTGCAGTAGGTGTACAAAGTATCCGGTTGTTCGATCAGCATTTACGTATTTAAATGACGTATTGGCTCCTATAATAATTCTAGTACTATAATTGGTGCACCCCCATCAGTGACAGTCAGCGAAGAATAATTATTGTGCAAAGGTAAAGGGTTATGTGCAAATGTCTGAGGCTGTGCGGACATTTGCACAGAAAGTGCCGGGAGTCACTGTGCTATATTTGAAAGTGTCACAGCCTCAGAAAAGAAGTGTTCTTCAGTCTGCTGGTTCGGCACCTGATGCTCCACAGCCTCTTGCCAGAGGGAAGGTTACCAAACAGTGTGCTTGCTGGGTAGATGGGGTCTTTTTTGACCCTGTCTTGTACCAGTAGTTCCGACCTGTAGTGGAGGTAGTGATGGATAATCAAATCTCACCTCTAACAGAAAACCTTGCTTAGTGTTTATTTTTCCTTAATTGTCTTCTGTGGTTGTGAATTTGCAGGCCTTCACAGCCGTCGATGCTCTTGCAGATGGTGGAGTGAAAATGGGTCTGCCTCGCAGACTAGCCGTACGCCTTGGAGCCCATGCCCTCCTGGTATTTTTTCTTTCTTTTACAGTATTATAGGAAAGTATATTATCATCAGTGTTGAGTGTTTTAGCATTTAGCTAAAATTGGGATCCTTTAGTTTTGGAGTATTTTAATTTTTCTTTTTTTTACAAACAAAGAAACTGACTTGTATCAGCATGTCAGTGAAAACAAATACATTATAACACAATTCTTTTTTCGCTAACACTGTTTATTCAATTGTGAAATGTTTTGTGTACTGCTTCCTCCTCGGTTTAAAGTGGGTCTTCTGTACTTCACAGGGTGCTGCTCGTATGCTGCTGGACTCTGAGCAGCATCCCGGGCAGCTCAAGGACAATGTTTGCTCACCAGGGGGCGCCACCATCCACGCCCTGCATGTCATGGAGAGTGGGGGCTTCCGCAGCCTTCTGATTAATGCAGTCGAGGCCTCCTGTGTCAGAACTAAGTGGGTTCATGAGTTAAAAAAAAGAAATTGAGACAAACAAAGCAACAAATCATATTCCCCGTCCTGAGGACACACAGGAAATGCTTTTAAGTTAATTGTAGTATTTAAGTGGCCAAAGTGTGGTCTTTTGAAGTTCATAATTCAGACAGTAGATGGAGCCATATGCAAATAATTAAAACAAAAAGCAGCCTCCTCCTAATTATCCAGTAATAGGACTATTATTAAGCCATTAGGGATGCTGTGCTAAAAATGCACTTTATGTTGTCATTCTACCTTTTAACAATCTGTGTTCCCACCTTTCCCTTATTTAAAAAAAAAAGGAAACTCCAGTTTTTGGCAGACCAGGAGAAGATCTCTCCCGCTGCCATCAAGAAAACAACCCTGGACAAAGTGCTGCAGCAGTCAGGAGTGAACGCAGAAAATGTCGGAATCAGACCTCGCACTTTAAGTGTATTTAACAGCAAGACCAAGAAGAACTAAAGTTGTAACCAATGCATCAGGGGTGAAGATATATATATATATGTGTGTGTGTGTGTGTATATATATATATATGTGTATGTGTATATATATGTATATATATGTGTGTGTACACACATACACACATGCTGTATGAATAAAACACTGGTACATTGCTGTCAAGCTACATCAGAGAAACTGTGAGCAAAACTATATAATAGGTTATCCTTCTGTTTTCTTTCTATTTACAATTGTAATACTTTTATCTCAGTGTTTTGGTTGCATGCAGTTAGTACTTTCTGGGGTTGAATACATGCACTTTTATATAGAATAATGGAGATTGAACAGTAATATAATTATCGGCGGTTGAGTTTTTAAAAGCTTTCTCTTTTGTCGGGTTTTCAAACATCAAAAATGTTGCATTTACAAGTTCTAGTTTGATGGTGTCAAGTGTTGTATTATGGTAAATGTTAATACTGTATGTAGAGTCTGTGACTGTGGGCTACTGTCTCTAAATGTCATATAGAATATCCATTGTGCAATTGTCACACTCAGTGACCCATACTGCATGTGGGGCCTACACCGATGCAGTACCTGGGTCCTACTTTGTAGTCTACTTATTATTAGTTCATTGCACGGGCAAGTGAAAAGATTCACTCCTTAGCCAAATAGCCACAGTAGATTCTGTGATGTCAAATGTAAAATTATTATGGCTGTCAAACTATGGAAAACCTTTTTTGATTTATACTACGTGGCTTTAGATCAATCATGATTAATCAAGGGGGAAAAAAATCAACATTTCTAAATATGATTTTAAAATGTTTTCTGTATTTTGCTGAAAAACAAACAGCAGGTAAATGTATGCATTTCACACCCATTTTTTCTGTACTCATCCAAATGATAAAATTACTGTATTAATGTGGAACGTTGAAACTGCAAAAGTATAAATCAAAGAAAAGAAAAACCAGAAAAGACCACGATTTGGTTTGGAATCATGAATGTAAAATTATTAACATGTATATTTACACAAATTTGCTAGCAATTAATGGTTATCATGATTATTTTGACAGCCCTAAAATTATACATTTGATAATATGAGTCCATACCAAAGGAAGGAATTGAAATAATTTAAAATGTGAATAGATTGAAACTTGTTACCTCAGAGGAGACATTTATCCACGTATCTGATATGTTATTTTCTTTGTATTTCATGCTCAAATAAGGTAAGATTTCTACTTTTTTTAGCCTATCTTCAAATGTCAATGTGGGAGCTATGGAGAAAGTTGTGTTGTATTATGTATTTACACTCACTAGTGAATTTATATGTACCTGTTCAGCAGTAGAGAACTGATAGTTTCGATTGGGTTTTTTTTGTTGTTTGTTTGTTTCAGCAGCCCTGTTTGAACAGATGCACACAAAGAAGTTATAGGTGAGTGACTGTATTTTGAAAAAAAGTTTTTTATATTTTTAAGAGTAAATAATTTTGTCCATAAACTTAATGACAACGATGTCTGTTTGAAACTCGCTCATTAAACACGGCTGTCAATCTCAGTGTTCTCCACTTAGATTAAATGACTATTTTCAGCCGTTTCCCTGTCACCAAGCAGGCGTTAGCAGCTCCATACGAACGCGAGTGATATGTTTTTGGTGGAAATTATTTTTACTCTGTTCAGGAAAGAAGATCCTTCATGAATGAAGTCACGTGGCCAAACACGATGACGTCTGGCTGCGATACAAGAGAAAGGAATCAACATAGAGAACACGAGCCTCTCTGTCACTGGCACTAAAGGTTCATGCGCGCCTTTTAAATGTCCCCTTGTCCACATGTTGTCGTTGTAAAAACGGGAGCCTGACAGCTACAACTTCACAGAACATCGTCTCCGACTCAGGTGAGCCGCTAAGAAACCAAACCGAGTCTCTGTTGTTGTGCTGAGTGTGCATACCTTACAGCCGCCGCCGTTGACAAGCTAGACGGCGTTAGCTTCGTGCGTTAGCATACCTAGCCGTCCCATTTAGTGAAGCCAGCACGGTGATTGCTTTCGAATGGTTTTCAAAATAAAATTCCTGTGCACGAGAGGGGTATTTAACTGCAATTAATGCCCCTTCAAAGAAACCTCTATTTGGTGTTGCAGTGGGAATTTTTTCTTCAGCAGTCGGTGAGAATAGTGTTGTAATGTTTTCACAGAAGTGGGTTTTGTTTCAATATCTGATATAATATTTGATTTGCTGATGGCTGAGTACTGCTCTAAAACAGTACAAATCTGCGCTACTAGCGCTGACGATCTATCATCACCATGGACAGCGATTTTGCGCTGTTAAAAATGTGAAGGTTTATACGGAATTGCTCAAGATAGTGTTTTAGATTATTATAAACTGCTTTGTATTCGCACTAAACACGTGTAGCAAGAATTACAATTACAACATGAACATTACAACTATGTTCATAACACCCCCTGCGGGTAAACAAGGGAACTTGCATTTTAAATTAGAAATAAGTAAAATATTTCTAACTTTTCTTCAACATACACTAACACTGCATTACAACCCATAATACTAACAAATACAGAATTCTGATTGCACTGCCAAGTTCATTCATCAAAGTCAAAATAATTGCTCAAACAAAGTGACTTATCAAAAATCTCAATTACATCTACAATTTTACATCTACATCTACAATTTATTAATGTTATGCCTGTCTCTCAGGCAGACAGGCAGATTGGTTGTAACTGGCAACCAACCAATCAGATAATAGGGCAAAGTAATAATGTTTGGCATGAGCATAGGTTTTTTTTTTTTTATGTCTCAGACGTGACATTGAAAAAAAAAAATCAGTAGGAGGGTTGCACCAGGAAGGTCGTCCTGAATTAAACAGGGACAAATTACTATGCAGACTAAAGGCTGTGTGACCCTCTGAAAAAGAGAAGTTGCTGGGAAAAAACACAGTGTTGTTAAATATAGTGCAAGATTATAGTGGAAGACATTTACAATTTCCAATCAACTTACATTGATTCACGAAAAAAACACACTGTCTAAAATATGAACACTGTTTTTCTTGTGCAGTTATTGACAGTTAAAAGGACTGATTTTGGAGTGTTTCCCACCAGTACGTTGTTTTGTTGTATATTCAAGAAAAAAATGTTTTGCATTGTTTACATAAAGCACATTTATGAGTTATTTGTTTATTTATTACATTTTAAAAGTTGTGTTTTGTGTTTTTTTGTTGTTGCTGGTTTTGACTAACAACTAACCCTTCAAGCTCTGTCACCTGCTATTGTTCAGTGATGTTTTGGCTTTTTCTGTGGGCCAAACCATAATCTTACCCAAGTCATCAAAATAGCTGGACTTAGCTCTGATCCTACATAGTTTCTTCGTGGGTTCTGATGTTTGTTTTCTGACAATCTGGCGTTAAAAAGGTTAATACGAGCTAATGTTGCTCCTCTATTGAGCTATTTGTTCTGGTACATCGCAACCCCTTTGTCTATGCCAATAACTGAGCTCGGTTAGCGCACGTACTTTGAAAGTGCTATACCGGAAGTACTTGTGGTTTTACAGCGAAAGTTGACGTCTGTGGCTTAAACGCTTAAATGCTGAGGAGGCAGCTAATATAATGTACACACCCGTTAATAAAACGCGTGACTCAATATTTTGAATTTGACGTGGTGGTGCCTCCTGTTTGAATTATGATATTTATTTATGAATTAATGTATTTAATATTTTTGTTTTTCTCCGGTTGTGGAATCTGTCGCGTTGTCGCTGCTTTGCCACATTGGTGGTAGTAGTAGTGAGGCAGAACACGGGGATTTCCTCGCTTGCTTGTTTTGTAGGCGGGGAGTTGTTTGTCACTTTCACGCGAGCAGCGGGCGTCGGAGGGAGCGGGGAGCCGCGGAATGTCAGAAGTGTGTAACTAGGCTGTTTCCGTGCTAATTTAGCCCGGTCTGTGTGCGTGCTCGCGCGCGCGCGCGTGTCTCTCTCCACTGTAGCGCGGCGCTCCTCCGTGCTTTGTCAACTCATGCGCTTCTTCCCATTTAAACCTGCTGCTTCATCACCTCGTTGTGGAAGGAAGCAAGAGCGACGAGCCGAGGTAGCGGTTTAGACACATCAGGTCGGTAACAACACTCCTTTTTCTCACAAATATCACCGTTCGGTTTTATTGTGACATGCTGTTTGTGCTCCGGTGTGGGTTTATTTGCACGCGCTGATGCCGTGTGTTAGGACGTGCTTTTCAATAACAGGTCGAATTGATTCACCTGTAGTGACTGTCATTTCACCAGAACCCGTCCGTCCTTGGCTTTGACATCACAATCAGCCCATTTAACCCCTGTGTTCTCTTACGATCGGAGCCAAAGCAACAAGCGGCGGCTTTTCTGCCCGGTGCTGAATCATCACAATGATGTATTTCAGCCATGCTCAGAAACCACACCGAAATATGGCACCGCCGGACAAAAGGTCTGTGCTCGGCGGAGGATGTTTATCACCGAGCCACCGCGGTGGAGGTGATGGATCGAAATGGTGCTGATGCTGATCGCCTCTCCCCCAGCCCTCCTCCACCCCCAAGTCAGTCATCCAGCCATGAGCATCAAGTGATGACCATCACGCATTTATCAATAGTCTCATCTACATTCCGCCGACAATGTGCTTTTTATTGCCGCGCTGTCATGATGTACATCAACAAACGGGGTGTGAGTACATTTAGACTAAGTGCTTAGGTGTCAACTGGGATGTCAAAGCCATTTAAAAAATGCACGATAAGCAATATATCATGCATGTGCTGCTGTCATGATGTATTCATGCCAGGCAGTGCCTGTTTAAATTGGGTCATGTGTATTATTATTACGGGATGAGTGGGAAAACAACGCATAGTTTTCATCGCATCAGTGACAAAAACGCCTGTGTGTGTGTTCCCCCTTTTTTTGTTTTTGTTTGCAGGATACTATAGATGTGCACATTTTCACTTTCAATGAAAGAGGACTTGTCTCTTATTTGAGGGGTCGGCAATTTCCTATTAGAGTGGCCGCTTAGGAAACTCAGGTAATGAATTACCCAGGAGAATCTGGGTGCATTTTGAAAAGTCACCTTGGAAACTGTTGAGCATATATAGAGGCGATGGCTTAATGGATAGAAGTTCTCCGCTCTTGCTCAGATATTCAACTTATTTCATCATCTCTATTCATGCAAGCTGTGGAGTGTGTTCCGCAGACAGATCAGCTCTACATCACAGGCTCAGATTTGCAATAAATCGCAACGGCCATCTCTGCAGGTAACACGAACGGATGGAGGCCCGCACAAGAGCCCATTGGGGACAGAGGTGGTGTGTATGAATGGAGACGGGGAGTGGTGGAGATCCGAGCCCTGAGATTTATTATCCTTTTTCATCGTAGAAGCAGAGATAAAATAAGGCAGGATACCACAGAGGTGAACGTAGCGCACAACTCGTACTCAGTGGCATCTCTCAGAAGCGGGCAGGTGGTGGAGGGTGGAGGAGGAAATGTGAGGTTGATGAAACAGGAGGCAAGACTTGAGAGTACAGTCTGGCCACCAACTCCTCTGTCTGGCCAATACAGCTGTGCCTTTGGGAGTAGTTACGCCTATTCAGGACAATTATTACCCTCAAGAAAGGAACACAAATGTGGGATTTGTCCACAAAAGTGCTGCTTAAGCTGTACAGGGAAATGGGAATGCCTGCGAGCGAGTGAGAAAAAGATCAATATAGCATTTTTTCCCCCGTAGTGTTGCAATAGGGAGGAGAGGCAACGTTGATGATGAAACCTGCTGCAAGTGTAGTGCAGATTATGATTGCTTAGCATTGCAATATGTTTGCTCCACATCTCCCAAGTATTACTTTCATCCTGAAAGTACAGCGAGCATGTTTGATGATGATTTTCTGTTAGATTTAGACTTCTCATGTTCATGAAGGTCATTTGTGTGTTTGGAATTTTTGATTATTCAGTGTAAAAGCGGAGCTGGAGAGTTGCAAACACAAAGCCGTTTGTTGGCTGCTGTTTTTCACGTTAACCTGCGTTCATCCTCACTGACATGGGTGCAGGATGAGTGTTGGAAGTGAAACCACCAGGAGTGGCATTGGTGCTAAAGGGTGACTGAAATGGGATTCTCTGTGGCTGACGACCGTCTTTAAGGTGTTGGTGCAGCCGATGGCTGATGAATACCGCTGGTTTTTCAAGACACAATTATTGACCAACACCTCTGTTCTCTTTCCTTATTCTGCACTCAGTGTCTGCACTGCAGAGCAGTTTAAAAGTTTTTTTTTTATTTTATCCTCTACCACTTAATCTTTTCGAGGGGTCGCATAGCTCTGCAGCCAATCGAGGCGAAAACACACCCGCAGTCGACACGTCCATCCCAGGACCACAACTGTTCATTCTCGTGTTCAAGAACTTCACTGCATGCAGAAAATTGCACCAGCCTACTGTGCTCTTCTTGCTGTAAGGCAGCAGCAGGAACCACTTCTTCCACTGTGTGTAAGGCAGCAGCAGGAACCACTTCTTTATGGTGCATAAACACTTCACACTTGAACTTAAAGAGGTGACAATGTCTTTATGGTTCTTACACGTCAGACATGGTGCAAAGAAATGAAAAGACAGTTTTTCCATTACTGTATACTCAGTCAAATGTTCAGATTTTTAAATAGTAAAATATATAAAATAGTTCAAACAATAAAAAGTCATTTTAAAAAGCTGTTTTTGAACTCTAAAATAGCATCTAGTGGGATTGACATGTTCATAATTTACGTATTTGTCAAATACATTCACTGGTTCTGTTACACAGGACCGTGTAGAATAACATTTGTTTGGTGTAAAAAAATGTTTTTTGGAATTGGCTCTGTACATCTGTCATTCTGATGACAATCAACAGTTGTCAGATGTCCACAATGTCAGATAACTGCTTTTTAATATGTTCACTTATAGTCATTTAATCATTTATATATATTTTTGGGAAACAGAATACTTGCTGCAGCCAGGTGTTTTCACTTGCTGATTAAGCCTCTTATCAACTCAAATCTCTGTGTTTCTCAGTGTGACAGTGTTAAGATCTTGTCTGCACGGGTTGGAGAACAGCTAGAACACAAAAGAGGAGTCCATCAAAAAGATCCAGGAGTTCAGATAAATACAGTGGACTTCCGTGTGCAGCTGTATTTATCTATTTTCATCCAATCCTTATAAATCCTCCCGTGATCCTCAAACACACCTATCACAAGTGGCACATTGTAATGTTTTTGCTAGAATTTTTGCTAGAATATTAGGGATACATTTTATATTTTGGTCTTTTTTCTCCTGTAAATATGCGCTCAAAAACCAAAGCATAAAAAGCAACAGGACGCGCAGAACTTTTATCAAATTGTAGCAATTTTCTGTCAAACAGACAAGCAGTGAAGTTTTAAACCTAAAAAAAAAACATTTTCAAGTTTGAGAGGAAAATAAAAACAGATTCTCTGAGAGGAGAGCAGTGTGGTATGAGTTTATACGTGCAAGATTATTTGTATCAACTGTATTTTGGAGGAAAGTAATTGCAGTTTTTGTCTTTTTTTGGAAAAATCATATGTTTAATTCACCATCCGTACATCGGCTACTTGTCACCACTGGAATCAAGTAAATGGTGGCTGGTTTCATTATTGGAATTCAGGCTTCTTCTGATTTCCAGGTGACTACTGATGTACGAGTATTTCAAAGAACTTTGCAGAAAGGGGGGCGGGGATGGGGGGTGTGATCATAAATTAAATGTCCTGCTTTTATTTGCTGAGCTTTGTTTGTTTGATAGCCTGAGGCGCTCACTTGGAGACGATCCACGCTGAATCCTCCGCAGCTGTGCCGTGATACAAACAAAAACCTGAATTATTTAAATGTAATTTCACTTTAAATTGCATTGGAATGTGCTGAATGGTTGTATTTTGGTGTTGTGCGATATGCATTTAATATGTATGCAACCAACAGAGTGGAGCTGCTGGTTATTTAGTCTGTGTGTGTGTTTGTGTGTGTGTGCTTGTGTGTGTGGCCGATCAAGAGCCTAATTCTTCCTATTAAATCAGGTCCTCCAGGCAGATACTGCGGACCAACAATGAAGACTCCTTCTCTTGTCCCAGTGCTTATACTAACAAAGCAGCTTCGAGAGTAAACAGCAGCAACCGAGCTTGAAAATGATCTGTAAACACGCACATATTGGCTCATGCCAACCAGTCCAATCCTAGCGCTTTATCGAAGAAAAAAAACAACAAAAAAGAAAACAACGTTATGCCTGACTTCAGTGAATAAAAACCCCTAGAGGGCAGTGATTCATGTTTTTGTATTTTTTTTTTTTTTTTTACATCTTTTGTTTTGGAATGCAAATTCCTGAGGTAAATGTGTCACATGCACCTCTGCACAGTAGGAGCTCAGAGAAGCATCTGGAGCTTGTCTTTTTTTAAAAGCATCTCTAAGGGTTGTGTTTCTTCATTTGATGACCTCTAATTTAATTTTAATGTTAAATATTCAGTATTGATCGTTGAAGTCTATTTTTCATTTTAATTCCTATTTAATAGTTCGGGGGGGGGTTGTTTTGGTTTTTTTGTTTGTTTTTTTTTGTCGACTTTGCAGCTGTTGAATCTTTATGTCCAGTGTTTCCCAAACTTTTTACACAGGGACCCACTTTTTACAGATGACAAACCACCCTGACCCAATTTGCAATAAAAATCAAAATGATTCTGACCTGGATAAATGGGATCCATGACAATACTGTGGTGAATATATGAAGAAAGTACACCTCAATTAATCTAAACGTGCACAATTTGTCTCCGTTGGTGCACATGGTAAACTTATAAAGATAGAGGACAAGACCTGTTTCAAAATGAATCACATGCTGGTAAACTTTTTCAATGTAAATTTGAACAAAAATCTCTTAATGGAAATGGGCAGCACTAATGTCCAGTCATTTTATTACCAGACACATTTATTCTAGGTGATAAAATGTAACATTTTAAATAAATAATTTGATAATTAATAAACTAATGTATACAATTTTCAAATTACAATAAACATAGGTAAAACCTGTCATGTCAATTCCATGACTGTTTAACAGCATTAGATATGATTAAAACATTTTGTTTTATATTTG